TTTTACATCCTTGAAATGCTTACTGTTTTTTTTTAAAAAAAGAATCCTTCTTCCGGTGCTTAGTTAGTGGAAGGACTGGAAAACCCACACCGGAGCCGGTCTCCTGGCGTTAGACCCTCCCCCAGCCTGTCCCTCCGCTGGCTGCCCCCAACATACCCTCCTCCAAGCTGATTTCACAGAGACTTGCTGCAGAGCCTGGCGCGGCACAGTTTGTGCAAGCCTCCCCTCCCTCCTCTGGCTCTCAGGGACCCTCATACACCTGAAGCGGTAAGTGCAGAGATTTGCCCTGCATGACTTTTACCTGGGAGAAACGCCTCCTTCCTTATTCCCCCCCCCTTCTTATTTGCAAAGGACACAGGTAGCTCATTTGCCAATGTCATCCCTTGGGAGAGACTCACAGCCAGGTAACCTGACACCTCCAGAGACAGGCAAAGCTATTGTGTTGCAGAATGGCAGAGAGCCAAGGGGGAAATGCTGCCCTTCCCCCACACCCACGCCACTGTCCTTGCAAAGGTCTCCAGGAAAGCAAGGGCTCTCTTGGACGACGTGCTGGGCTACATTCATCCAACTTTTATTCCATTCCAGCGCTGAGAGAGCTCTTCTGAAACATACACACTCTCAGCTGAACACAAATCACAGTGAGAAAACACGTAAATACTTGTAGCCGCATGGCCAGGCTGTGAAATTCTGGATCTATGTCTCATAGAGAACGGGAGGAAAGGCTAGCCTTATGGGAGGTAAAAATAACTCTTATGCATCAGCTAGATCGTTTACTCTTATTTGGCCCCAACTTGAATCTGTTACCTTTATCGGTCATATTTTGATCCTATTCCCCATTCACCCAGACCATGGCAGTGTACATGGTTCCTTCCTCTTTCATTTTGCCCTCACAACAACCCTCTGAGGAAGACAGTGACTGGCCGTAGGTCACCCAGTGTGCTTAATGACTGAGTTGGGATTTGAACCTAGGTCTGTTCTTAAGTCTTATTCCATCCAATGCACCACACTGGATTCCTGCATTCTTTCAGCCTTAGAATGTGGGCGGCCAAAAAATATTGAGATCTAATTACAGACAAGATTAAACCATTTTTGTGTCAGGGTACTGGAACTGAAATGACAGTTTACTCTAGCTTATTTCTGACATTGTGTTGTTCACATGTGCCACCAGCCCAGCAACTATATGTACTGGGAACACACCCTACTTGTTAAGCTCCCAATATGCATGGTTGCCATATGTGGTATACTGGTTAGAGTACTGAACTAGGACCCAGGTTCAAATCCTCACTCTGCCACGGAAGCTCGCTGGGTGACCTTAGGCCAGTCACACCCTCTCAGCCTAACCTAGATCACAGAGTAGTTGTGAGGATGCAGTGGGGGGGAGAAGAATGATATAAACCACTTTGGGGTCCCATTGAGGAGAAAGGTGGTATATAAATGAAGTACATAAATAATGTTTTCTGAGCAGGGCAATGTGTGTATTTTGATTATGTGTAGAGCTTCAGCATACATAAAACGAGTGCTGGATTTCCCAAGGTTCTGTTTTGTATGCACCAAAGCTGTACACACATGAAAAACTGTGTGTGGCTTTGTTCAGATAGTGTGGCAACCATGCATATTAGGATCACCTTGGACACCATGCACTCCTGATATGCGTGCACTCTTGTGCCTCCTGACAATGACTTAGATGTGATATGAAATCAAAAGCTTTAATAATGAACAACCCTGTCTTCATTATGATTATACTGATTGAGGTACACAGAACTTTACAGAACACCACGAGCCAATCAACAAAAAAGCTGTGCTCCATGGAGCTGGAAATCTAAGTTTATAACAGCAGAGGAAAGGGATAGGCATAAATAACATGAGATAGATATGAGCAAGTGTAACTATATACATCCGTGTTTGACTTCAGTTGGGAATGAAGACAGGTGGTTAAGCATGAGGTTTCATGGAGACGGTTAGCTGATATACCCCATGATAGTGTAAAACTCTAGATTTTCCATGATATCTCCTTCTGCACATGTTTTTTCCCCTCCCTTTTTTGTGAATACCTTCCTGAGAACATTAATGTGAATTATTTTTCGGATAAAACACCATAGGGGGGGGGGAACTCTGAGAAGATATTGTGATGCTTTAAGTTTAAGTAAGGCATTTCATTTACTAACTACTCTTTGACTTGGATTTTTAATGTTTATTCATGTTTCTATTGTTCTCTTTTAACACAAGATGAAAATAGGTAGGCTTGTTTTATATTCAGTGAGAGCACTATTCTTCATAGCGGGATGGACATTTGGGTCAGTAGAATATACATCGGGGGAGGTGTCTTGCACTAGAGTAAGTGTTCACATGTAACACTAGCCCAGCAACTATATGTATTGGGAACACACCCTACTTGTTATGCTGTGGCATAGTGGTTTGAGTATCGGACTAGGATTTGGGTATCGGATCCATCCCATCATCTGTGTATTTAGAATTTTAATAACTGGCATGTCTCTTGAACTATTTTAACTGCTTGAAATTGACTGCCCTCTTTATTGGTTTAACCTGTTTGTTAGCCTTGGAGTAAAGTATTCTAAATAGGGATGAGCATGAACCGACTCACGAACTAAAGTTCGTGATGAATTTTGGCTCGTTCATGCTTTGCAAAGTCAAGTTTGTGCCTGGTCAACTGGCACAAACTTTCCATGAACTCTGATGGAGGTTTGTTGCAGTTCATAAATGGATACATTTCCATACAGATTGGTTGGGATCAATCATGTTGTTTACCAAACTTAAAAGCGGGGGGGGGGGGGGGGGGGGGAGGGGGCAGAAGTTTCTCTGTGAGTTTGGTGTCACTGGCTTGTTCCTGAGCCCTGTAATTCCAGTAACTGCAGCAATGCAAGCAAAAGAGGACTAATCCCAAACTACAGAATCCCTGCAGACATTTTTTCAAGCCCAGTACAACCAGTTCTGTGTACAGCATGCCCAGAAGAATCCAGTACCACTGTGGCAATGCAAGCTTAAAAGGACTGATTGATCTCAAAGCACAGTGTCACAAGAAATCCAAGCTGGGGGGGGGGGATTTTTGCAAGCTCTGTACAAGAAAATGGGAAGAAGAAGAAGAGGAGGAGGAGATTGGATTTATACTCCACCCTTCACTTGGAGTCACAGAGCGGTTTATAAACTCCTTTCCCTTTCTCTCCCCACAACAGACACCCTGTTAGGTAGGTGGGGCTGAGAGAGCTGTGACAGAAACCACCTTGAAACTGACAAGAGCTGTTTGAAACTGATAAGAACTGTGGAGAAACCCCAGGGAGGGGGGGCTCCTGAACCTGTGCCTGTCATTTCCCCAGAAAGCACTTTCTTGGGGGCACCGTCTTTGGGGGGCTGTAACTCAGATCTCGTAAATCCAATCATCACCAAACTTGGAGGGAAGGTAAAGGAGAGTCAGCCAGATAATCCCTGTTAGTTTGGTGCCTCTAGTTTTTTTTGGGGGGGGGGTTGTTCTAGTGGATCATGAACCTCACAAACTGAACCAGAACATTTGATGCCTAAAAGTTTGTGATGGTCCGTGGTTCATGAACTTGGCACACCACGAAACAAACTGCATTTTCCCAGTTTGTGCCCATCCCTAATTCTAAACAAGTAGGTACTTTTTGGCTGGGTTGGGATTGGCAGTGCTTGATCTGGCAGATTAGAGTTACTTCAACCATCTCTTGTAATGGTGAGTGAGACTGCTAATAAGACCATCTCCATGGCTTAACTGCTACTCCTTACAATTTGCTCCCCCGAATTTCCCTGGTATTCATCTAATTTTTGCATCACAAGGTGTTGGTGCAGTGGGCAATACCCCTTGAAGCCAAAGTGGCATGTGCTTTTATTTGCCATAATAAATCTGGTACAGGGTGATCCTAATTAGAGTTACACCCTTCTAAATTCATTGAAGTCAACAGGTGTAACTCACCTTAGGCTTCTTGCCCTGCTAGTTTTTAAGGCCCTTGCGTTATTTTTACTGCTAGTCTTGTGGAGGTTGTTCAGATGATGGAATGCTGCACTGGCTTGGCCTGATGGGACCTTTCTGCTCAGACTTAATTTCCAACTGATATCCCAGAATGCATCATCCTCGGTTTTGCCACATGGCACTTTGAAGGTACACATTTTGGCATAGCTTCTAATGGTTAGTTTTTATGGTATTTTTAATAACAGAATGCCATGATTGATTGTGTATGATGTGGTAAAGCGGAAAACCTTAGACAAGTCCTTGGTTGCTTTTCTATTTTATCATATGAATTTATACGAAAGAGTAATCGCAGAAGAATTACAGGGTTTCTCATCTCGTTCAGGCATTTCATTGTTTTAAAATAAAGACTGTACAAATGCACTCACTTTGTATATCCTCTCTGTTAAGAGAGAAAGAACTCCACACAAGGTAATCCTCCATCAAGAACAGATTAATTTACAGATATGTATCAGTTATGCAACTCAATAAACTTATATGCTTGTTTTGCATAATACATTCTGCAGAAGAGCTATGCAGGCCACTCCACTGCAGTGGATGAGTTTTCTCCCCCCCCTACTCATGGGCACAGTTTGAAGCCATAATAGCTAGAAACCTAGTTTTGTTTTGTTATTGAAGACTGCTAAGATTATCAGGACTTTAAATTCTGTTCCAAAGCCCAATAACAGCTTGTGTGGTGTGCTGGTCAGAGTGTCAAAGGCTCTTCTCATCCGTGAAGCTTACCGGGGGACTTTGGGCCAGCCAGACTTTCTCAGTCTATCCTATTTCATGGGGTTATAATGGGATTGCCAGCTTTGGGGACGGGGACACAGGTGTGTGTGTGGGGGCAGCATCATATGCACTGTGACATCACTTCTGGGTTTTCCCTGTAAGTGATGTTGCAGCGCACAAGATGCCAATGTGTTTTTTTAACATATTGCAGACGTCTGGATACATGTATGCAAGGAAGTATAGAACATAGTGTACTGAGTTCTTAGCAGTTCCTTTTGCTTAATTTTAACAGAAAAGATGGCACCTCAAGCAGGGTCCTCAGGGCCAGTTGGCTCTCCACTGGAAAATGAAGAGCAATTGAGCAGGCGGATGATGGCCAAAAGGCAGAAGATAATTGCTGAAATGGTGCAGACAGAAAGAGATTATTGCCATGATCTGGACCTCTGCATCAAAACAGTGGTTGAGCCCTTAAGAAGAATGCAGGTAAGCAAGTCTTGGGCTGTCAGAGGGCAGGTCCTGTTTTGGACAAAAACACAAGCGCCGTGAGACTTGGCCTTGCATCTTAGCCTGCCCTCGGATATAAGTAATTGGCAAACTGACATGAAAGAGCGCCCTGCATTCCTGTGCAATTTTGCTCGTATTCTAAGCTTGAATGAGCTTGATTCAGATTTGGACAAATGAAAAGCACTTCCCCACCCCAAATGTTTCTTTCACCATATATTCCTAAATAGCAACAGCAGATCTCCTTAATACTGCCTGCTGCAAAACTATAAAAACAAATTATGAATGTAACAGCCATATGTTGGATGCAGTCTTCTTGGTTTGTATCCATGTAGGTTTTTGATTTCATTATGCTTGATTCCTGCACAGGTGATAGGGTTGTCGCCTCTGGGTTGTGAAATTCCTGGAGATCTGGGAGTGGAGCCTTGAGAGGGTGGGGTTGGGGGGGAGGGGAGGGAGCTCAGTCCACTCTTCCCAAAGCAGCTATTTTCTCCAGGGACAACTAATCTTTGCAGTCTGGAGATCAGGCATAATTCCAGGAGACCTCCAGCCTCTCACCTGGATATTGGCAACCCAAGCATGTGATGGCAGGAGGCTGAAGGAACTGACTAGGCTGGAAAGAACTGTGTTGGAGGTAATGCGAACATTGACATTATAGGTCTTGTGGCCCATTCACACATACCTCGCATCACATGATAATTTAATCATGCATGCAGACATGTTTATGAGAACGAGCCCTTAGATTGCATCGTGGCTGTTTTCATCCTATGTTGACAGTAGGGCTTTATCTTCCTTGCATTGGATGGCCAATTTTCCTTTGCAGGAAATTCCCTTTTTGTCTTAGTCCTGGAACAGGGACCAGAATATTCTGAAACCCAGAATTCAGATTTTCATTGCTTCATATACTGGCTTGGATCCAAGCAGCCCCTACCATAAGAAGACGTAAGATACCTCCACTCACACAGGATCTTATTCAATTCCAATTTACCCTCCACCCCCACTTGCAGCCTTCTGCACTACATGGCACACCATCCCAGGATATTCCTCACACTTTGGTTCCACGTACCTTTGTTACCTCATGAACTGGGCGGTCACCCTGCCAGCCTGTTCTTACACATGATTAAGTTCCTCAGGTTTCCATGGGACATCCTGCAAAGTAAATGTGCAAAGGATTTGCAGCCTAAAAGGGCACTTTGAAACACATTGAAAAATCCACTTTCAATCCACTTTCAGTGTGCTTTGCAACTGGACTTTACTGTGGGAAACAGCAAAATACACCTGCAAACGATCGCTAAAGTGCACTGAAAGTGGATTGAAAGTGCATTATTCAGCATATGGGAAGGCACAGTAATAAATGAACTTTTGTTTTATTCTCCCCATTTTCATCTTCATCCTGGCCAAAGAGATCAGGGCAGTGTTTTATTTTACGTTGTTTGAGGGCATGTTGTTTTAAGGAAGAAAAGACCGATTCTGTCCAGAAAACAGATCTAAAATTGAGTCTGCTCCAGAATTCCTAACGGACCAAAAAATTCATTAGCCTCTATAATCAAATATTACCTCCACTAGCAATTATAGTAGAATACTGTGCTGGTTACCATAACATGCAATTTGATTCTTTGGGGCTGTTTTCTGCAAGCCGCTGAGTAAATACACAGTTCTGTTACTAATGAATACTAATGGATAGGCTTGTTTAAAGGTACTCACCTGTCTGCCAAAATCAACACTGTTTGTTAACTTCATGCATTACATCCTGCTGGGTTCTCAAAAGATTTCCACATATGGATTCATTGTCCCTGTGACTTAGGAGGAAACAGCAAATATGACAAATAAAAGGGATTTTTTAAAATGATCCCTAAAGGAACTGGGCTGAATGGATGGGAACTGTGCCAAGCTTATACCTGCAACTTGTTTTTTGATTATAGTCTTATTACAAATCACCTTGGTTTTGTTTAAACAATGCTGCTTTGTTTTTACTCTGTGGGTTGGGGGGATAGTAAAAAAGAAAACAGTAAAGCAGTAGTAAAAAAACAAAAGCAGGGTTTTCTTTTCCTGTCAGAAAGGCTATGCTGAAGATCACAGGACAAAAGTAATTTGAAATGGGGACTGTGTTAAGAAGGGGAATGGAGTGAGTTTTTTTTTTGGGGGGGGGAAGCAGGCTGAATCCAACTGGCTGCATTTATTTGCCCTCTTCAGAGAAAATATACTTGTTTGTCTGCTGTACACATTTAGTATAATTATTAGCTGATTGCTTTATATGGCCTCAGTTCCGCTGGAATGCTCCTGCTCTTTTTAAAAAATGTTTGCTGCTGTTTTATTACTGCTATTTTTAATAACAACTCATAGGGTTGCCATCTCCAGTTTGAGAAATTCCTGGAGGTTTGGGGGTTGCATTTGAGGAGGGGATGGAGTTTGGCAGGGGTGTAATGCCATAGAATCTACTCTCCAAAGCAGCCATTTTTCTCCAGGGGAACTGATCTCTGTAATCTGGAGCAATGCTCCTTCTAAACTGTGGAGTCTTGTGAACAAAAATTCTACTTTGTGAGCTGCTGGCATTAAAGTTGTGAACGAGCTACTTGGCTACTGCATAAATTAGTTTGCTCTGGAGCCATCCTTCCTAAGACAAAAATGTGTGAGCCGGAGGCTAAAAAACTGTGAGCTAGCTCACAGTAACTCAGCTTAGAGGGAACACTGGTCTGGAGATCAGAGGATATATTTTGCCTCTGAATGCACGTATCCCAGAAGGAGGGAAATCAAATGCTTCACCATTCGTTCCAGTATCTTATGATGAATTGTACCAGTATTAATTTTTTGAAAAACTGCATGCACAGCCTTTGTTCAATCCAAGGAGAGGACTGTAGAGGAGACTGCTGAAACAGCATGTCACGGAGCAGGGTCCCTCGTTTTTCTGACAGTTGCTGCCCACCGTTTGTGTTTCATCAGATCGCTAGGTTCGATGTGGATGGCTTATTTAGCAACATTGAATCAGTCCATCAGATATCAGCCAAACTGCTGTCATTGTTGGAAGAAGCAACAGTGGACATGGAGCCAGCCATGCAAGTAATCGGTATGTTTGCTGTCCTCTTTGAGCTCTACAAAGCTGTACAGAATAACGAGAATGCAATAAAACTTCCATTTCCCATCCTCAGGCCACCCTTCCCCCCCCCCCAACTGCCTCTTATTCCAGTAAACACAGGAGGAAGCAACAGTCAGAGTTCAGTAGAATGAAACTCATAATCTTGATGCCAGCCATGGAGTAATGCTGTGTGTGACATTGCCTTGTGCTAAAAACACAGGAAAGGGGGGGGGGGGGGGCCGGGGTAAAACATCTGCCTTTCATGCAGAAGGTCCAAGGTGCAACCCCCAGCATCTCCGGGTAAAAAAGACCCGGCAGGAGGTGATGTGAAAGACCTCTGCAGGGGACCCTGGAGAGCCACTGCCAGGCAGAGTAGACCAAGAATTTTACTCAGTTTTATATGTTCAACTAAAGGGCATAGGGTTGCCAAGTCTCCCTGGGCCACAGGGGGGATGTGGTGGTAAATCCAGGGTGGGAAATTCCTGGAGATTTGGGGATGGGGAGAACAGGGACCTCAGTGGGGTACAATGCCGTACAGTCCATCCTCCAGAGCATCTATTTTCTCCAAGGGAACTGATCTCTGTAAACTGGAGATGAGCTGGAGTTCCTGGAGATCCCCAGGTCCTACCTGGAGAAAAGTATCCCTGCATGCATTCCTTCTTATTGGCAGCATGAAGAGAAAAAAAGATTGGTTAGTCATAGCTCTTACTTTTGACCTTTTGACGTACCCCTGATTTAACAATGCAAAAACAAAATAAGAGCTGCCCTGTAATGCTGTCAAATTTGAGTGGTCTTAGACTGAAGTAACTCTGCCTAGAAATGCACAGTGACTTTCTTGTCTTTAGTTGTCGTATGGCGTTATAAGTATTTCTAATGAAATGGAACAGAGAGAAAGAGAGAAGATAATATTAACTTATTCCTTTCTTCGTGATTTACAAAATGTGTAAGCTGCTTTTCAAAAAGGATCAAAGTAATGGAAAGAAATCCAGAACAACAACAGTCAGCTAATCATAAACCAGCAACGCAGTGAGGCAGAACAAAACTAGACCAAAGGCCAAGTGAAACAAAGAGGTTTTCACTTATCTGAAAAATGGTAATAAAGAAGGGGCCAGGCAAACGACCCAAGGGAGGCCATTACAGGGAAGAGGGGCAGAAAGTGAGAAGACATTACCTTGGGCAAAGACAGGTCCATCAGTGACTATTAGCCACAAGGTATAGAGGAACACTCTGTCTGGGGCAGTGATACTGTCTTCTTGGTGCTTGGGGGGCAAGAGTGGGAGGGCTTCTAGAGTTCTGGTCCCACTGGTGGACCTCCTGATGGCACCTGGGTTTTGGCCACTGTGTGACATAGAGTGTTGGACTGGATGGGCCACTGGCCTGGTCCAACATGGCTTCTCTTATGTTGCTATATTCTTATGGAAGACATTTGCCCTTCACATAAGCTGGCATCAGGAGTGCCTCTTTGGCTGACTATGGAAATCTCCATAAGGCAACACCCTGAAATACTTGGGACTCAACAGTGTTTAGGTCTTACAAATCAATGTCAACATCTTAAATATACTGGGGGCCTATACAGCTGTCTCAGTACAGGCATGAGGTGATTCTACCACTTTATGTTCACTCCTAGTCTTGTGGCAGTCATTTGTACCAGTGGCAGTTTCCCAATGGTCTTCAAAGGCCACCCCACAGCGAACACTTTATCTGGTAGTCTAATCTAGAGGTCAGAAGGGAAGACAGCATCTCCTCAGATCTCAGATGCTAAGCAGGGTTGGTACTTGGAAGGGAGACCACCAAGGAAGACTCTGCAGAGGAAGGCAATGGCCAGACACCTCTGCTTCTCACTTGCCTTGAAAGCCCCTTGCTGGGGGTCAGCTGTGACTTGACAGCACTTTACACACAAAAAAAATATCTAGAGGTCCCTAAGACATGACTGGTAGTTACTGGGCCTCTGTAAGCCAGCAAAGGGAATGGCTGAGGAATCAGCTGGGACTGATAACAGGCAGTCAGGACTACTGTTATTGCCTGGAGCAAAGCAGAAGCCAAGAAGAGCTCCTCTAATCCGTAGACCCGATTCAGTTGTTCAATCCCAAAGCTCTCAAAGGTCAAGGAGGGTTTCCTGAGAAAGAGTGGAGGTTTTCTAGAAGAGGCACAAATATGTTTTCAGATCCTCCAGCCTGTGCTTTGGCCAGGTAGCAAGACTGATGGCTTCTCTCAAACAGTCAGCACTCCAACAGTTTGGTGTAGTGGTTAAGAGCATGGACTATAATCTGGGAGAACTGGGTTTGATTCCCTGCTCATCCACATGCAACTGCTGGTGTGACCTTGGGTCAGTCATAAATTCTTTCAGAGCTGTTCTCTCAAGGGCAGTTTTCAAGAGAGCATTCTCAGCCCCACCTACCTCCCAGGGTGTCTGTTGTGGGGAGGGGAAGGGAAAGGAGTTTGTAAACCACTCTGAGACTCCTTTGGGTCGTGAGGGGCAGGGTATAAATCCAATCTACTCCTCCTCCTTCTCCTCTTGCGTTGATCATCACTTCTAATGGATGTAACTTTCAGATGTAAGCTATTTTCCGCAGACAGGGAGTTTTTGATGTGGGGGAATGTAATTAGGTGACTCTGTCCTCTTCTAACATACTGAGGTGGGACAGTATCATAATATCTTTACCTAGGGTCCAGGTGGGGCCTGGAGATCTTTACCTTGCATCCAGGTGGGGCCTGGAGATTTCCTGGAATTACAACTGAGTTCCAGACTACAGAGATCAGTTGCCCTGCTTAAAGTGGCTGCTTGGAAAGATGAACTCTATGGCATTATACCCCATTGAAGGTCCCTCCCTTACACAAATCCCCAGGAATTCCCCAACCCAGGCTCCGCAACCATTGCTGTGCCACTAGCATATCTGACTGTGCAGAAAAACTTAGTTTTGCTTGACAGAAAGTAGTTATGGCCAAGACAAGAAGTCTCACACTGTGACATGGCTAGGGAGGGTGCAGGAAAATGAATTCATGTTCAGCCAGAGCTAATTTTTTTTTAAGAAATGGCTTTTTGGATACAGTCTACAGGTTTTAGTGACATCTAGGGACCATTTGGATAAATGCTCCTGGTATTTTTGAGGGGCACGCTGGAGGCAGAAGGCTTCTGTTTTCCTATTTGAAGTATAAATGACGTGGCCCCATCTTAAAAGTATCTTTATGCACATCGTCTAAAATGAAAGCTCTGCATTTAGCCACTTGTCAACTGAGTGCATCTCTCAGAGAGTCGGTTATTCAATCACGCACAAAGAAAATCTGAGGGTAGACTGCTTTTGCCCCCAAATTAGCCATAGGTGTAAGGAAAATGTACTGGAGAAATACTTCCTGCTCAGAAGAAAGCAATCCTCTTTGTAAACCTGTATTCAGGCTGACGTATCTGAAGAAACTATTTTGGTAACTGTATCATACATCTAATGTTGTAGTTTGTGAGGAAACAGTTTCCTTACATAGCTAATGAACTTAACTGTTCTTGTTCCTGTGTCTTTTACTGCAACTGTCCATTGAGTAATTAAGCAAGTGATTTCTCTGTGTCAGGCATGGAAAGGGAGAAGTACACATTACCTTAGAAGCGTAAAGAGGAAATACATTTCCATCACACCCTTTCACGCACCCTTCCTCATAATGTGCAGTGTCACTGTCAGATAAAAAAAGATAGTATGAGAAGCCCCAGGGTGTCCAAAGGGGTGGTGAGGGAATGAAATTTAACTATTTGGCTATAACTACAGGTGTGATATTTGTATAAATTCTTAATTTGACAATTCCAGGTGGGCAGCCATGTCTGAAGCAGCAGAACAAAGTTTGAGTCCAATGGCATATTTAAGACTAACAAAGTTTTATTCAAGGTATGAGCTTTTGTGTGCAAGCACACTTCCTCAGATACATTGAAATGGAAGTCAACAATCCATACGTACAAGCAGACGGTAAACAGCATATTATCATACAACATAATAAAGATGTTTTAACAGATCCAAAGGTGACCATATCAAGTTAGCTTGTTATTCCTGTTTGATATTTGCATCTGTTAAAACATCTTCATTATCTTGTATGCTAATTTGCTATTCACAGTCTGCCTATACGTATGGACTGTTGAGGAAGCTTGTATGCACACGAAAGCTCATACCTTGAATAAAAATGTTTTGGTCTTAAGAGTGCCACTGGACTCAAACTTTGTTCTAATTTGATAATTGTTAGAGCATCAAAAGGGTTTTTTTAAAATCAATTCCCACAATTCTATCCCTGATTCTATGGCACTATTTAATATTTTTTGCTCATTTTGTATGAATCTGAAACAGGAATATTACCAGATTTCATGAACCTAGTTTGATTCAATAATTTTGGTCTATGGCTTCTTCCCTCTCAGGTTGACTTTTTTATACCAGTAACATATGATAGAAATACTACCATTCACATTTATGCTCATTTTTGTATATGTTATGTTGGAATAGCATGAATTATCATATAACATATAAATGCTGTAAAAATGGCAAAAAAGAGAACTGATAAACACCAGCAATGAAAAAAGAAAGGAACATCAAGTTATCCCAGCAATGTCATAGTAAAAGAAATGGGGGAAGGTCATATGTGTGTATTCCTACTACTACCAAGTTTGGTTTTTGCAAAGGAAAATTAAGCCAAGAGCATTTTTAACTGGAAGTTATCTGGGCCTGACAACAGTTGAACAGCTTAAGTATTTATTCAGAAACAAGTTCCACCTCCATATAAACATTGCTAGGATCAAGCTGAATGGTTGGAAGTTTGAAATGGGTTGAGGGGATTTATATATTTGCATGTGATCTCTAGTTTGCAGCATTTTAGGGTATAATTTAAGGGTTCAACAAAATCACATGGTTGAGTTACAGCCTGTGAAATAAATGTGTGGGGATGGAAATAGAGTAGGGTATTTGTAAGCCTGGTTCTGTCCAAGACTGCTGGCTCTGTCCAAGACTGTTGGGTCAGTGGATTGT